TCCACCTTTTGCCACTCGAGCTAGGCCTTGAGGGCAAAATTTTGGTGTTTGTTACTCGTATTTGTTGGCTATGCATTAAAATGGAACTGCAGTTTTGCTTGGTGGGAAAATATTCCATTTGTCCTTCACTATTCCTTCTTTTTCAAAACATAAAGATGTATTCTTATTTTGGCTATTGGAATTTCGGAAAGGGCATCGAGGCTAAGCTGATAGAGCATTCAAAGGTGACTCCCAAGGAAAATTCTGTGAAGGTACATTGGCTCTCTTGAACCTGATTTACTGGATTTGGTCGTCCTATCAATTGTTCATAATGTCTAATCATACAATGTATTGCAATTTAGGGGCTTGAATTCATTGTCGAATCTAATGAATCAAGTGTACCACCAAAATCGGTTACGGATACAGAAGGAAAAGATGTTATTGACAATTTTGCCAAAGGTCCAGTTGCTAGCAAAATGAGGATTCACAGATCTTATCCAGTTGGGTTGTCTTTAACAAGGAGCGTGCTGGGTCCAGGATTCTGATCTCAACTTTTCCTCTATTCAAAGTTGGATTATGCGGATGTGATTACCCGATTCATTTCGTTTATATTGATTTGTGGCCTCTATGGTCACGTACAACATTATACAATACATACAAGGTTGTCTCTTTTTTCCCTTCCTTTCAAATGTCATATAAAGCTGTATTTGAAACAAAACAATATAATAAATGTATTTCATTTGGGTCATAGCCAAATTTGTCAATGGGTAACTTCTGGCTGACTACACACTAGAGTCATTTTTTGTGATTATATGTAGTTTCTGGTACTTCTTTGATACACTCTATCCTTTTCAAACCTTACATAGGGGATTCCATATGGTATGTTTGTTATTGGGTAACTTCTGGGCAGAACGTGAGTTTTAAGGTTTAGAAATCAAATTTTATTTTTTTCCGGAAATAAATTTTTCATTGCACAGTTCACCAGTATGTTGGACATAATAAACCAGATGAAGTATCAGTTCATGCCAGTAGCTCATATTGAGAGTGCACTCATATCATCAGTGCTGACTAGTTTGAGATCGATCCATATTGTTGACTCCAACTAATTTGGATAAAAGCATATGTAGAAGTAATCAGAAGCAACTATTAACAATCAAGAGCTAAGTTTAGGCCGAAAAAATAACAAAAATGTCTAGATCGATGATACAAATATGGGACATTCTTCGATACCTCATACAACCTCTCTCTTCTTTGCAGCATCTCTCAAATCAAGTAAAAAAGAAAGGACTAAAATATTCCGAGATAAATAGATCTAAGATCTCTAAACAGTTTGAAGAAATTGAAATGTTGCCTCCTGAAACTATCTCTTCTTTCTACCTCCCTTGCCAGACTTTGAAGAACCAGCTGCAGAAGAGGCTGCAGGCTCCTGCTTCTTAGTCCTATTAGGATGTCTTCGAACCAACTCTGCGACATTGATCATCAGCTGTTTCCCTGCAATATACAACCCTAGAAAGTTAGTGCGTGTTTCAATAATTAAGCTTTAGAAAGGAAAACAAGTTATAGGAGGTTGACTAAAACCCCACACATGCACAAAGCCTCATATACTAGAGACTTATAAACCAAAAAGAATCATGAAGAAAAACCAAGTCGCTGAAAAAAAAAACATGTACAAGTGTGTATGGTGCTCAACTGAATCCATCCAAAAATAATCTATACTAGTAGTAGTTGCTTGGATACTCCTCCTTCACAGCCATATTTAGAACATTACATCAAAAGAAGTAAGAAAGCATTCCCTATTCCTCGCATGAAAAACAGTCTAGCAAGATCTCTTTTTTAAAAGTAAAAGTGTAAGACTTAAAGGAACTTTAACCTTCGAGAATCTCCTTTCTTATGGGTAAATAACATATTGTATAAGATAGTTGCACAAAGCCAGTACAGCCTTGGAGAATTTTACAGAGACAAATTAAAGTGTTGGAATGACTGCGACCAAATAGAGATTGCGGATATAGAGGATTCATTTACTCCCACTAGTTTGGGATTGAAGCATAGTATGTCTCTTCTTTGTTGTCAACGAACATTTTGATGATGCAGTATATTTCAATTACACTACGTAGAGTGGCCCACGATAACATCAACTAAGAATGGTGGCTATAGCTTCATAAAAATGGTAGAGAACAATTTTAGGTTATAGATAAATGGTATTCACTTCCATTTGAAATATTTAGCATTATCACCCATATGACTTTTTTCCACAGTGCAAGAACATAGACAATTTTCCATATAAATCAAACAAGCTCATTGTTTAAAGCTTAAAAGAGAGTAATCAAAGTATGAAGTCACTCAACATGTTATGAAACTATAGTGCTTTGCAAAAAGCTTTAAGAAAATAGAGGATAGAATAATGCCCAAAAGGAGGGTGGGGTGGGTGGTGAAGATTTTCTTACGTGAAGGAATGACAGGATTGTAAGGGGTTCCATCTTCCCGCTTCAGCAAAACTCTCACTCTTCCTCTTTGCATGAAATCCCGTGGATATGCCTTATCAAGCTGCAACAACAGATTCAGAAAATAACTATAAGCAAAAAAAAATCAATCTTATATGTTCAGTGATTCAATAGTTCAGACATTAATAGAAACAATACAGCTCGCAAATTGTCATCTTTGTTTTTTAAGGCACATCATGTCCTTAAGAGACTTACGGATGCTGCAGACATCACCACAATTAATTTACTTTGCACAAGTACACTTTGTTTTTAAACAGCTTACCACTGATTTAAGGCACATCACGTCCTTAAGAGACTTAAATATGCTGCAGACATCACCGCAATTAACTTATTTTGCACAAGTACAATTTGTCTTTAAACAGCTTACCACCTATTTCATTGGGAGCAATTAAATAAAAATACAACATTCTATTCAGAAATTTGCTCCTACAAGTAAATATTAACCCAACCAATCACACAGTGATAAACGCCGTTACCAAAGTTCAGGAGATCTGGAGAACCTAGAAAGAGTGGTCGATCCCAGCTGTTATTCAAAATTCTAATCCCTGCACATTTCTTTACCCCCCATATTTCTTTATCTTTTGTTGCCCTAAAGAAAAGAAAAACGAAATACAATGAAACCAAAGGATTCATATATATGATATTAACAAGTTGGGAACTTGGGATGAGGACTTAGTTGTTGTTACTACACTTGCATTAATTACGTTGTTTGCCATAATCTGATTATTCTTTCTTTAATGACAATGGTATCTATCACAACTTGAGTGCACCTCGACTAATTCCTACCGGCTGCCTCCCAACAACACAAGTAAGCCTTAAACAGATGGGAAAAAATCACCCTAGTATTTTTTTCTTTGCTGGAATTTGAATCTGAAACATGGTTCTCCCCCACTTCATTGAAAGCCACGCATCTAGGCCACACCCTTGGGTAGTTAGTGCCCATAGTCTGATTATTCTAGATAGGTTTCTGTATGTTGTGAAGAAATGCGAGACTTAAGGAGTCTACGGAGCTCAACACAGCACTAATTTGCCTTTAAAGATGAACTATTTTAGCATTCCAATGAAATGAGCCTGCTTACAGCAGATAAATACAGACATTTATATCGATGACCTAACTATTTTGGGATCAATGCATAGTTGAGTCTTTGTTATACATATATCTTATCTTTCCCTATTATATAAGGTCAGGTACAAGTTCAAACTACATATACATAATCATAAATGATAAATATATAATCTTTGAATCAAGCAAAGCAAAAAAATTGAAAAAACAAACCAAAATATAATCTTAGAAACAAGCAAAGCAAAAACTGCAAAAAACCAAACCTCAATTGCACAAGGAATTTTGAGGAAATTGCAGCAATCACTAATCTCAGTACAAGTAGGGTTTTCACAAGCTTTCGTCACACAAATTCTTCTTCCTTCCGC